ATGCTTGTGGCACAGAGTGCAAAGAACCACCCCTCCAGGTGCTCAGAGAACACATGGCCAGTGCAGCCAGCACTCTGGGCAGCATGTGGGGTGCAGAAGGCAGGGGCCCTGCCTGAGGGTCCCGCTGTGCTGTTAGCCAGGAGCTGCCTAGGTAAGTGCCTCCTGGCCAGAGCCTGCCTCTAGCACCTCCGCCCATCCCTCCAAGGCCATATTTTGCCTGCCCCTGCTTTAGTGGGTGTTAAGACTGGTGCTCCCCTTCACAACCCAAACCCTCTTCACCCCTGCTCCTGCACCCATACCCCTCCCAGACCCTGCAGCCCCTTCTCCTGCTCTATGTCACAACACAAACCCCTGCACTCCCTCCTGCACCCCTTCCCCAAGGTCACAACCCCCCTCCCAGACTCTGTACCCCTTCCCCAGGTCAGACTCCTCTCGTGCAACCCAATCCCTGCTCCAGGTCACAGCCCCTCCCTTCACCTGCACTACAGGCTGGATATTGAAAGAGATGGCCTTATTTGAGGTGGCAGAGCTTACATTCCTGAGTTTCTAGATGCATGAATCCCAAGGTAAGACCAACAGAGGGACAAGCACAGGGTGGGAGATAGACAAGAGGAGGGTGGGAGAAGAATTCCTGGTATAATTTAGCCCTTTTTTTTTTTTAATAAAATTGGGTCATGATTTCCAGTAAACATCCCTGCTGGGTCAACTTAGAAGGGCATTTCCGCATCTTTCTGTTTTTTTTACATAATCACCAGCAGGACTGGACGACAGAAAATAAGCTCCAATTTCCTGAGAAATGACTGCAGGCAGAAAGAGGATCTCTGTCACCAGAGAAACCGTCTTTTTTAACAATTAGTCAAAGCACAAACACAGGCCTCGATTTCTTTATGGCTGTGCTTGCAGGAGACCTGCCAGTATTCAAGCCTGGTGCCAGAGCTAATTCAACCTTGTATAGTCTGTGGAGATGACAAACACCACAGTCATGCTCCTTTAGGGTATGGAAAATAACCGACTCTGTATGGGAAGGCGAGAGAGTAGGTTCACAATACCAGGCCTTATCCAGTCCTCTCAGGCACATTTCTCTCTCCTTGGGCAGAGCAAAGCTGATGTACTGTGGCTGGTTAATAAAAGTGGAGCTAGTTGGCTTGAGGGGTATAATTTATACTTGCTCTGTATTCACACCTCAGTAAACAGCCAGTTCTGAGAGCTGTCCCTTACACGCACCCACCGGGGTGCTCTAAATGCCTTGCATGCTCCCATGAGAGCTTCCAGGAAGATGTCGGTGCCTAGAACAATGCCTGGCCAAGCAGGTCCAAAAAGGCATCTGAGTGCGCAAATCGCGCACAGGCTTGTGAAAGCATGGCATGAATTCCACCACCAAACGCCCCGCTGCCGCTTCCCAGCATTCCCAAAGGCAGGATTTCTGGCGGCATCACATCACACCATTGAAAGTTACCAACAGAGTGTTAATTGGCTGATGTAGTGGCACCAGTAGCCCCACATGCCAGAAGAGGAGCATTCTGGGAGAAAATCAAAACACAGCAACCATCAGCAGCAGCCTTGACTAGCCATAGGTTGATCTGCTAATGTTTTCTCTGGCACTGACCTTTCCCTTCACACATGCTAAATGCCTGGTTAGCTTGATGTTCATCTTAATTCACTCCACATTATTAAAACCTACTTGCCTGATTAATGCTGATTAAAGCTCTCATGTGAATTCCAAAAAATTCACACCCACCCCATGAGACCTTCAGCCAGGAGATAAAACAGCTCACTTTGATCCCTGCTAGAACTCCAGCATTTGATCTTCCATAGAAAATAAACACATGTGTTTCCCCTTCCCCTAGCATGATGTGATAGCAAACCCTGCAACTACCCAGCCCAGTCCTCAATAGTGGGAAGAGCCTCTGGTACCTGCATGGGGGAGACAGCCGCTGCTGGGGCTGTCCTCACCGGAATTCCACTCAGAGGACTCCTGGGAACCTTGTGAACCGTGATACTCTGCGCAGTGCTCCCTGTGAGAAGGGAAGGAAACATTTATATTGCAGAGCAGTCTGAAAGAAAAGCTATGATGTTCTTTTCCCCTCCTCTCCCGACACCCATGGCTGACCAAAGACCTGAGGGTACTCTATCGCTTTCTATGTACTTTAGCATCACTTGGAGAAAACCTTAGAAAAGGGAGGGACGGGGGGTAGAGGTCTACAAAGTCATGAACGGTGTGGAGAAAGCAAACAGGGAAGTGTTATTTACTCCTTCACATTACGCAAGAACCAGAGCTCACCCCATGAAATTAATAGGCAGCTGGTTTAAAACAAACGTAAGAACGTACTACTTCTCATAACACACAATCTGTGGAACTCATTGCTATGGGGATGTTGTGAAAGCCAAAAGTATACATGGTGGTCCAGCAATGGCTATTAGACAAGAGATGGCCAAGGACACTACTGCACACGCCTGGTGTCCTTAACACTGACTGCCAGAAACTGGGACTGGACGATAGGGGATGAAGCATTCAAAATTACCCTGTTCCGTTCATTCCCTCCGAAGCAGCTGGCATTGGCAACTGTCGGAAAACAGGATACTGGGCTATATGGGCCATTGGTCTCACTCAATAGGAGGGTCTTATGTTCTATAGCACTGCTTAAACCAATGTCCACGGGGATGAAAAATGGAGGCAGCCGATGTCAGAAGAATTACGTTTGCAAGCTGAAGTATCACTATTTGAAACATTAATGAAAAAAAATAAAAACTCCTCTGCTCCCAGGGTGCAGGGCTGGAGTACCTGAGCATCCCAAATCAAACGACTTGATCAGAGACTTGACGGTAGCTGCAGACTCTGAGGGAGTGGGTGACGCCCTGCTGACACAGACCCCTTGCCAGCGGCTGGTAGCATCTGCTTCCACAGAATTCACCTCCTCAGTTGTCTGCCTGAATAGTAGAAACCAGAACAAAGTCAGTGGCAACAGGAAGCACAAGAAAATACCCCCATTCTACAGAAAGGAACTTCCTAAGGCGCAAGTCCCTTCTCTTGTAAGGCCCCCCCATCATGGACTTTCCCATTACAATGCTTAGGGGCTTTGAAGAAGAGCCAGCAATAAGCCTCACAATACCACTGGGAGGTCAAGAAATAGCCCCATTCACAGGTAAGGAAACCAAGGAACAGAGAAGTTAAGTGACTTGCCTTAGGTCACAGTGAGTCATTGACAAAGTTGGAATTTCCTGAAATCCAGGGCTATGTTGAAGCCTTGATACTCAACCATGAGGAATGGTAGTGATGGTGTCCCTAGCTTGTGTGTGTCAGGGGCTAGGAATGGGTGACAGGAGGGACAACGTGACGATTCCCTGCTCAGTTCCCTCCCTCTGGGGCACCTGGCGCTGGCCACTGTGGGCAGACAGGACACTGGGTTGAATGGACCTTTGGTCTGACCCAGTCTGGCCATTCTTGTGTTCTTACCTTTCTTGAGTCCTCACAGCCTTGTCTACAGATGCTAATTGTGGGTCCTTGCCAGATGGAAAGGATATCAGATTGTTGTGAATTTGCTAGGCTTAAGCTTAGCATCTGCCTTGAGTCCAAGTCTGGTAGGTTTCATAAGCATTAAAGACCCAGATTTGAACTTCCCCACTTCGGAAAAACCTCTAATTATGTCCTTTGCTGTCTTTTTGGGCATGCACCCAAAGATAGCACCCCCTGAACCAACGCTCATAAACTAGCCGCACAAGGGAGTGGCTAACATGGAAATGATTTAAACAATTAGAGGACAGTGATATAAATAATGCAATCAATGGCAATCAACATGCATGGTAAACGGATCGGTTTTTTGATCCGATTAGATTATAAATTTGTTTCATAGAGGCAATAGTATTGATGTAATAGTGCACATCCTTCTGTAAGGTATATGACTTGGTACACACAATATTTTATTAAAAACCAGAATGATAAAAATCATCATTAAAATGACAGGTCTCAAAAACACAACTGTAAACTGGGAATCATCCTCCAGCAGGCATATTTCTAGAGCCGTCCTGTAGGTCTACTCCTGCCCTGGCCCTGCACCACTACTAGTCAATGTTTTTGTGAATCCCCTCACAGAAAACACAAGCATGTCTGATAGAGTTTGCTGCAGATGACACAAAGACAGGCCAATAATGAAGAGGACAGGACAGAGATACAGAGCAATCTGGATCATTTGGTAAGTTGGTACTTACAGGAAGTAGGACTCTAGCCTGGGAAGCAGTGACTATGAAAAAGAGCTGGGGATGATGGTAGATAATAAGCTGAACATGAGCTCCCAGAATGATGCTGAGGCTAAAAGGGCAAATGGGATCCATGGATACATAAAACAGGAGAATATGAACTAGGAGCAAAGAGGTCATTTACCATTGTGTTTGGAGCTGGTGTGACTACCACTGGAAAATTGTGTTCCATTCCAGCATCCACAATTCAAAAGGAGGTTGATAAATTGGAGACAATGCAAAGAAGAGCCAGGAGAATGATTAAAGTGCCTTATAGTGAGACACTCAAGGAACACAATCTACTTAGCTTATCAAAGAGAAGGTTGAAGGCTGATTTGTTCGTCTGTATGGGGAATGGAAATAGGAGTCTAGCAGAGTCAGGTGTAATAAGATCCAAAGGCTAGAACTCGAAACTAGACAAAAACGACAAAGGCATAATTTTTCCATTCTTGTTTTTTTAAACAGTGGAAGTAAGTGACTGATGGCGGTGGTAGAATCTCAATCACTGGACATTTTTAAACCAAGACTCAATTTTTAGTTTAGTCTCTGCTATTGGACAACAAAAATCAATCCAGAGAAGTCCTACGGCTTGTATTACACAGGAGGACAAACTAGATAAACAATGAGAAGTCCTGTGGCACCTACAGAGTAACAGATTTATTGGAGCATAAGCTTTCGTGGGCAAAGCCCCACTTCGTCAGATGTATCTGATGCAGTGGGTCTTTGCCTTCAAAAGCTTATGCTCCAATAAATCTGTTACTCTATAAAGTGCCACAGGACTTCTTGTTGTTTCTGCGGATTCAGACTAACACGGCCACCCCTCTGACAGATAACAGTAGTCCCTTCTGGCTTGATAATCTATTCATCTAACAACTGGTGTTTGTCCAGGAATTGACTATACATCCTTGGCAGCCTCACCCATCACCGCCTGGGCCAGCTTTGACCTCACAAAACTAACTTAGGTTTCAGGAAAGCCGGGCAGAGATGGCTGAGGCTGTTTATTTGCAAACAGTCTTTCATGACGTAGTTTTCATGAAGCTAAGTGGACTGATCAGCAGATCCTAGAGCACCACTGCTTCCCCCATGAAGAGCTGGGCTAGGAAAAGAGAGCTATGGAATTCAGCACAAGAATGGGGCCAGAATTCCCTGGAGAAAGTGCCTACTGAGGTGCACAGTTCCTGCTGGGCTAAAAGTAGAGGTCGATCTTTTTGTTTTATTTTCCTTTTGGCATCCAAGTTGTTGCTACAAAATGCAAGGGGGCTGGAGGTATCAAAGAATGACCAAAAAAAGAGTGACTCATGCTTCTTTTTCTGGCCATGCTCAAGGAGGTGCTGTCTATCAGCAGACACTGGCTACTTCTTTGCTAATTCACTCAGCCTCCCTGCGAGCCAGGAAAGGCCTGTGGATGCAGATGGCTTGAGGAAAGCCATTTCATTCCATTCTCCATCTAATCCAAGGAGGAGGAAAAGAAAAGCTGGACGAGATTCACTGAGCTCTGAAGGATCCAGTGTTCTGATGATTAGCCCCAAATTCTCACCCCCTTCCCCCACTCATGGCTTCATTAAACACAAACATGTCAACAGGCAGCAGCATCTGGACTTCATTTGTAAGAAAACACAATGGCTAAAATGAGTCCTGCAGCTAGTGACACGTGGGGGGAATCATGGACTTCTGCTACAGGATGCCCAGCAGGACTGGGTCAGCCAACCATTTCACACGTTCCTCTGTAAGGAAGTAAAGACTGAGACCAGTGGACAGGATCTCTGCATGATTTCCCAGGCAGAAAGGGAACGGGAAGTTTGTGGCATAATGTTAAGAGTTCGGAAGGTCAGGATAGAGACACAGGTTTGGGCAAGTTCATACATCTGGAAGGTAAGGCCAAGCCAAGGGAATGAGCCAAAGCCCCATCTAAGCTATGGGAACTGGCTGTAGATTCTACCCAGGGGGAAAAGGAAAGAAACATGAAGTGATAAACACATGTTTATGGCTGAGGGGGGCCATCAATAGGAGAGCTCTTCTGGCTTGCCTACGCCTTATCTCACAGGCTCACGTCTTCATTGATTAGCTCCCTTCAGGGGATCTTCTGGTTGCACAAACTCTTCCAGAGCAAGATTAAATATGAAACACATTATCCTGTGGCTCATATCCCAGGAAATCTGCTGAGAGCGCACACACACCTCAAGTATTTCAGCCGGATAAATGCTGAGACAGTAACAGCTAAGCTGCCATGCGGCCAGATTTTGCTTGGGCACTCTGATTTTATCATCTAAACGTGTCCTGAAATGAATGTCTGGGATGACTGCGATGGTGAGGTCTCCCAAGCAGGAAATCTCACCATGGTGGTGTTTTGTGCCTGGGACCCACTTACTCCAATCTACATCACACAGGCCAGCCTGGTTTGATGCGCTCACTACTTTCCGGTTTTGAAAACAAAATGACTAATATGGGGATGAGGGGGGAAGAGGGGGGAAGAGAGCAGTGAGAAAGGTCAGCTCCGCCCTCTGAGACTCAGGATGCCAGCCATCATCATTCAGTAGTGTCAAAAAGCATTTTTGGGATTTCTCCCCCACTGCAACCATGTTTGGAAAGAGCTCTGTGTAAACACTCACCAAGACACTTCACTGTCCTGCCTCACAGCCCTTCCAAAAACTCCCGTTTGCAGGATGGCTACAAAATACTTGACAATTATTAGCCTGCTGGTGCCGAGACCACTGCCTACCATGCTGGCCAATGCGGTCTCATTGCTTCCTCGCGCTTCCCCATCCGCCTTGACTGGAGTATCTTGGGGGCAGGGACTGTCTCTGTTCAGTGTTTGCGCAAGGTCTAGCATAACGGGATCCTGGGCCGTTGCTGGAGTTGCTAGACGACATGGTACTATAAACACCAACACTCCAAACCCTTGATAGCAAACAGCAATCAGACTTTTCAAGCCTTTAAGTCTGAGGAGGCAGAAGTGCAACTCACAAGAGCAAACAAATTGAAAAGATGACATGAGAATGCCCCAGCATGATTAATGCCAAGCCATAGCTCGAGCGCCGAGCAACAGCTTCCTGTGAGCAAAATCCCCTTACAAAGGGCCTGTTGGGCAGCCTACGCCATAACCAATCTCTGGCAGAGAGAGGAGAGAATTTGAACCCTGCTGCCTTTGCTTTGCTTGAGAACTTGGGCGGAAATGCTGCGCACAGTTACCCCCAGCAAGAACACTGGAGTGTGGCAGCTGCTAGCCGGAGCGATTCAGCCCAAACCCAACATGGGTGGTTTTGCATCGCACCACTTGATTCCCTAGGGAGGGGAGGTACTTGAAGCGTTAGTGGGAAGCTCACCAGCAAGGGGCAGTCACGGAGGAGTTACCAACCTTGCGGTGACTAGCCCTTGAATTCAGGCAGGCTAGACACGTTGGGGAAAGCAGCAGCAATACTGAGTGACTGTGTTTGGACATTTCTCAATCCAAGGCGCCTTTTCTGAAGCAAACTAAGTGGCTCTGGGGTGGGTAACTGTTTGCTGCCGGAAACATCTCCTTGGCTGCAGTTCCTGGCACTGTGGCTACAAAGTGACTTGTGACTCTTCCTCAGTTCCAAGGGAGACAAAGAAGAAGCACACAGAGCTGCTGAGATGCAGAACAGAAGAGAGGCCAGGAGCAGGCAGCAGACACTTCTGGACAATCACACATTTATTTTGCACTTCCATGGATTTTTTAAACATATAAAACCAACACTGAACAATTGCCAGCACAGATAATAACGAGAGGCAACGCAAGTGCGCGTCCAAGTACGTCCCACGGCAGAATGGCATGGGCCATGCCAAAGTCAGGAGGGTTCTCAGCACTCAGACAGCCTGCTGCCCAGAGGCCATGGCTGTTACGTCTTCCCAGCCAAAGAAGCCTCGGGCCAAAATGTGAAACTCCAGTCCCACAAGGCCGTGATCTCTAACTGTCTTCTCAGGTCCTGCTTGGTATCCAGGACAGCTTTCCCAGTGTCTTCAGTTGTCAGGAAGGACACAAGCAAATTCTCCTGATCACATACATCACCTGAGTTAAGGGGATGGGAACAACTTTCCTTTAGGGGGACAGTCGTTTTTCCTTCGGATCCTTTTGTGAGCAGTTCAGGACAAGCAGCTAATTTTTATCCCATGGCTGCGGCTGCACCTGCGCCTGATCTGGCGCAAGAGAAATCTACAGCAGGATAGGCTGCAGCCAACTTTCTTGGTCATCACGCAACTTTCAAACTTCTAGGACACGAGTCAGATGCTGCCACCTAGTGGTGAGGCCCTTGCCACTGCCGCATCAAAAACCTACCGAATATGCAGCAACCTCATCTTCATATGAAATCTACACCTGGTTCTCACAACCACATGCAGAGTCGGGACTCACTAGGAAATAGGTCTATGCCTGTCCTGTTCTCTATAGCACATAAGGTGTGTGCAGAACACGTTACATCCTACACACCCACCCACAAAGATAAATACACTGCAGCCCCCGTGGACAAACAGTTTTCACAGAGTAATTGCTTCTCTCTGGCCACTGGATCCTCATCCTTACGGGAAACCTGCACAACACCTTCAAAAGAGAGCCTGGGAGCTTAAAGAAATCACTTTGCTAGACACCAAACCCCATGGACTGAAAAAAGACACTGGCTGTGTGGCTTAGGGCAGCGCACTAACCCTCCTTTTCCAGAGGTGTTAATTGGCCACTTTACTGCCTGTGGTCCCTTGCAATGTGTGTTAACAACTTAACCTAAACAATCCGCTCCACCCGCGGTTTAGCTCCAGCTCTCTGAGGTCAGTCTACACTCCAAAATTACATGCACCCAGCTATGGTCACTCAGGGGTGTGAAAAATCCAGCCCTGGAGTGAGCAGGGCAAGGTGACCTAAGAGCTGGTATAGACAACCTAGCTACTGCCTTTCCAGGAGGTGCACTAACCACACTGACAGGAGAACCCCTCCCACAGTTGCAGCACTTCCTTTAGATCTGGGAAAGGTACTTGGGGCTAGTCTAAAGAAGTGCTGTGGGGAGCCTGAAAGCTTCTCTCTCCCACCAACAGAAGCTGGTCTAAGAAAAACTCTTCTTACACCACATGCACAACTCGTTATTACCCAGCTTTTAAATGTAGGATTGGGCTGGATTTCAGCATGGGCAAAAGCAGCCATCCCCCACTCAAGTCAATGGATAGCTCAGTTCCCAAACCCCTGGGATCAAGCTCAGGGTTTTGGTTCCTAAGATTTCTTTTCAATTGTCTTAAAGAGATTCAAAACTGTTTCCACCTCCAGGACTCTTCACAAGAGAGCAGCCTGGTGAATCAAAGGGCCAGGCTGCTGCTCGTGGGGAAAAGTGGATCAGAATGGCATTCACACTTTGGGGTGCACTGGACTTTTGGTCTCTTTGGACTGAGTTGCTTTCTCCAGTTGAAACTTCCCTTTTCAGGCTGGAGGCATTGTCAGAGGCGTCCCAGTCCTGGCAAGATCAGGCCGGGCTTTGCATCCCTCCAGGACTGTGCTAGCAGGCAGAGACTGCACACCTGGGGAGACAGAGACAAACGTGGGGGAGGAGTTATATAAAACAACACAACAGTTCAAAAGTGCAGTTGTCAGTGTTTTACCCAAACCAGCCCATTGCCACTGAACAAAGGAGCAGCCAGAGCATGGATTGTGCTTCTGGGACCAAACTTACATCTCCCTCCTTAGCAGAGGCAGAGCTGCCATACGGCATCCAAGAGGCTGCCCCTCCACCAGCCATACTCTATGGCATTCCCCTCACCTAGTCGCCTTCAACTCCCTGACGCTGGCAGAGACAGAAAAATAAAACGTTGTGATCAGATTGCCCCAGGAAAGCTCCTTTGGGGTGGGGAAGGAGAAACGGTGCAAAAACCTGGAGGAGGTAATGTCCTCTGTGCAGGGGCACACAGGCCCACTGCTCACAGGGGAGACTACTGACTAGGGGCATGGATCAGAGCATCACAGACAAGTTAGCAGAGACCTAGTGAGTCAATTTAATTCATTTCTACGTCTTCTCTTCCCTGGGATGCACACCCATTGGGGGAAGGGGCCGTTTGGCTCACACCTGTGGTTTTCAATCCATCGGTGCTTTAGCTTGCCAGAGGAGTGGGAAGTCATAAAAAGGTCTCAACTCTGTTCAGTGCTGGAATCACGAAGACAGAAAACCCGGGGGCAGGATTAGCTACCAATACTACAAAAAAAATACATCCCCTGGCTGAAGGAATGAAACAGTTAGAGCCAGGGACCTATTTTAAAGGATGTGGCTTTCCCCTCTACTAAGCAATTTGCGCTGTCAAGGTGTACACAGGAACCTGTCCAGGCTTTGCAAAGTCTCTGTTCCAGGAAGGCCTTTGTTGCTAGGCAGGTCTACACTTAAAACACTGCAGCTGCGCCACTTTAGTGCTTCAGTGGATCTGCTGCTATGATGACAGGAGAGCATCTCCTGGCAGCACAGATAATCCACCCCCTTGAGAGGCAGGAGCTGTGTTGACAGGAGAAGTCCTCCCTTTGACACCACCCAAGCGTAGAGTGCGCTAGCTCAGTATAGTGTGTCGCACGGGGACCTTTCAGACCCCCAACAATGCAGTTATACCAATCTCAGTCTGTAGGGCGGACCTGGCCAAAAAGACTGGGCTATCATTTCATTTTGGCCCCAAAGCCCTCGGAGAGCAACTGAGCATCCTAACTAACCCAACCTGGCGCCCATCCAGAAGACCCCCCTTCTCTCATTTTAAGTGAGAGCAGAGTGAACAGAGAAAACCTCTGCAAGACAGAACAGCTGCAAACACAGGCACAAAGGAGCAGCACATCAGCACGTACACACTGACATTCGGTTTAATACACAGAGATTACACGCTGAATTCCCGGAGATAGTGCATTTAACACGGCCATGCTCTGGCACTTGAAACGTAGCTACAGGAGGGAGGGAAGAAGCAAATTAGTGGGAGAGAAAAGGATCCTCGTTTTCACTTCCCTTTCAAGCACTTAGTTAAATCTCTGGTTCTGGAAAGCGGATCTTTTAATTGTGGGAAATGCTGGTCTGCCTTCAGGAAAGCCCTCTTGGCCCAAGGCTCTGCCCTGGGCTTGGTTTGAGACACATGGCATTGTCCTCCCGGTGGGCATGCAACATATCTTCCCCCTTGGAAAGAGGGGCACATGGGCAGGAGAATGTCTCGCCCCGGCACTGGTGCTAGCCACAGCGGTAACAGACCAGGCCTGGAATGGCAGGTGGATGAAGGTCAATGGGGCTGCACTGAACTAAGGTACTTCCGGCAGCCACTTGCTTCCGTTGAGTGCTATGGACTCAGTCTAGCGGTCTTCTCCTTGGCTGGAATCTCTAATTATAAAGCAGAAGTTAGAACTTCACTGAGTGACGTTCTGAGCGGAGGAGACAGTTGTGCTCCAGTGGGGATTCTTCTGCCTGAGGAGGACTATCAGAGCTGGCTGTACGATGTCAGAAAAGGCCCTAAACTTAGGACTTGTATTGATCTCCGCTGGTGTTTTCTAAGGACAAGCACTAAGATTTATTCCAGGCCAGGATATGACGTGAACTTCTCCCTTCCACACCTCATTTCGTTGGCTGAGTGTTATCCAGCCATCCACCCCCCGCCACACACTCTCAGTCACAGAATTAGACAGTTACTCTGGGTTAAAGATGCCCTTGAGAGGCTCTTACCTTCATTCAGATGGACTTTGATGAGCTCATCAGGGCATTTTCTGCAAGTTCTTTGTCTGTTCCTGAACCAAAAATGACTTTGTCGGGTTAGAAAAACCTAAAGGTGAAACCAAACTTCGCTGGAGTCAGGAACTCAGGCAGCCCCAGGCAAATGCTACAATGACCAGGATCTCTTAGGAGGGAAATTGGCTTCAGTTTGGTTTACAGGTTCCAACGAGCCCCCAGAGACAGTCGAGCAATTGTCAAAAAAGCATTTGAGCAGCACACTCTTTGGAAGGTGTATTTCTCCTGCAGAGCTTAAAAATCAGACAGGAAACTGTCATGGGGGACTGTCTGGCAGCCTGCTGAATGCACAGCTGCTCGGGATTAGCAACGCAAGGGATATTTTATAGATCTCATTAACGTGTCACATGCTCCAGACTAGCTCCGCTAGAGCCTAGAATGCGTTACACGCCATTGCACGGAATAGAATTCAGGGTTGGCTCTGGCTAGTGGCCTGTGGGGACTTGGGCAAGAGCAGTACCGAGTTCACCCCAGGAATTTCAGGTAACAGAGCATGTGTTTCAAGGCATGGAATTATGATGCAGCTCTCAGCAGCAGACCACAGACATCAGAGACTGGCTTAATAAAGATTCAGTTTAAAATTTCACTGCCAGATGTTTTAGCTCTGATTTATAATGGTCCTCTAGCTCCTACATGCCATTCGCTGTTGCAGTTCTGGCTAGAATGACCTGTGCTGGGACACAGAGATCTCCATTCAAATCTATTACACCAAGAAGGTAACAGATGCAAAAACTTCTGCTAGTGAAGATCTGACTCTCAGCTCAGCACCTGCCCTTTGACGAGAATGTATGTTGCCCACTGCAGAATGAACTTCCGGTTCCATGTCCAAAGGAGTACAACAAGGAAGCTAGACGGACAGACAGGCAAACAGAGACAGACACATTCATACATATATACATTAAGCATATTGACTTCTTAATTAAAAGCATGTAACTGGGGAATTGGTTTAGGCTCAAATTTCCTTTCCTGCCGTGGCCAGGAGCTCCCATCATTCCCACCGTGAGCGTGGCAGTCTGGCGGACTCTCTCCTGGAAATGTTTGCATGTATGAATTACAGGGATCTGGTTTTAACAGGAGCATACTTGACTTAGGCTCCGACACACCTCATCATGAGAGCCAGAACAATGCAGCCACATTCCAAATCCCTGGGAGATACCAGCCTACTGCCTGAAACTAACAAGCCTTCTCCTATGTACCTTTGTATTCAAAGTATTTCTTTCTTCAAATGGGAACGGTAAGACCCTGTGCTCCACTCCCTGCTTCGCCTCTCCTGGTTACAACAGGTCTAACGTAGGCCCGGAAGGAAAGCTAGTGGCATTTTTCAAGAATTTTATTCACCAAGAAACAGTTTCATTTGATCCAAAACTACTCCAAATCCGACAAGAATTCACCAAACAGATTGGGCAAAATGTTTGTTTTCAGGACTTAGAGACTATTCAAAACACCAGAGCAGCTGGCGGAGGAAGAGGCAGAGAGTGGTGAGGCAATGCCCACGTTATAAGGCTTAGCCCTGCACTTAGGGCTTTCTGCTGGGATACGGAGGACCCGGGTTCAATTTCTCACTCTGCTCGGCGTAGAGCAGGGATCTGAACTTGGGTCTCCCGCACTGAGGGGAGAGTGCCTGAGCCACAGGGCTCCCCAGAAGAAACCGCTCCACTGTGCAGAAACAACTCAGTAGTTCTTGGAGCAGGAACTTGGCCTTGAGGTGCACATCTCCGAGGCGAGGGCCATAGCCAAGGGTGCAGAGATATTCCCGTTCTGCGCTCCGGCCCAATGACTACTGGCGTACAAGAGCCTCGGCACGAGAGGAAGCGTAGCGGCACTGCTCCAGCACCAGAGCCATGCAGGCATAAGCCCACAGTGGTGCAGGCCCACCTCCTTGTGGGATGGTAGCTAGCTCTGGGAAGAATTCTTCAATTGACGTAGCCATATTGACCCTGGGGGTCAGGGTTGGCATAGCTCCATCAGTGAGGGGGCCGGGTTGGAGTTTTTCCACAGTCAACCTAAATTTAAGTGGCAATCAGACCTGGGTGAGACCTGCCCCACAACATCCACAGTGTGGCAGTGAGGACACTCCCTTGCAGTGGGGGAGACCTCAATCCAAAAGCCTGCTCCGTATGAGGCAGAGAGGGGAAACGAACCCAGGCCCCTGCAGCCCAGGTGTGCGCCCTCAGCACAGAGCTAAAGGCAATAAGGAACACAGCCCCTCCTTCACTAGCTCTGCCTCCGCTATTCTGCGAATCTGCCTCGCTACCTCCTTCGCTTCCATTTTTTAAAAAGTGGCTGGAAATGGAACATTACATTTGAGAACAATTTTGGTTCGAGTCGACTTTTTCAGTTCCCCAGTTTGGGCATTTTCTAGTTTGGGGAGGATCAAACTGGCTTTTCGGTTTCATTTCATTGTTCAGAGCTTCCGGGAATGGAAGCATCAGCTGGTCTCTTGGCTTGAACTGGGAGCTGTGCTTCTCGCCCTGCTCTCAGCGTCAGTGGTGCCATCAGCACTGGCAGTGGAGACACGGAGCACAGAGTGAGTGCCTGGGCTGATAATCTGATTGCCTTCCTCTGTTGTAAGAGTGTGTTCGCTAGTAGCCTTTCATTCCACACGCGTCAGGGACCCTCCTTCCCCATCACTGAACTTGGATCTTAAACACAGTCTCTTGAAAAAAAGACTTCTGCTCGTTTAAGGCAGGAATTGTGATTCCATCTCTGACCTACACCCTTCCCTGATCCCTCATCACTCCCCTCCACCTCCGCGGTGCATGGCTGCTCCGGGAGCCGCTGCATGGTAGATTCTCAAAGGAACATGAGCCATACAAGCTGCGCTGCTTTTTTCCTGACAGAAGTGGCAGAACTCACTGAATCCATGTTTCATTTCCATGGACATTTTGGGATAGAGAGATTCAGAGCAGGGAAGCAGGGCAAAGCTGGCACATTTTTGGGCAGTGACTTGATCCTCTATGTCTCTTAGTTGTGCAACCATCTTTTTGTTGGCTCTGTACAGATATAACCTCTGCAGCTCTGACCTGCCTGTGCCAGGGCATTAGGGGCATGTGATACTGCCCTCTTTAGAACGCCCAGCCCTCTTTCCTGCACCCCTCCATTTCCCACAGTCCTTCACTTCAGTTCTGGAATGGTACTAGTTAGCACTGACTGAAAGGTGTCCCATCAAACAGCTTGCACTGCGCATGAAGGCCCTGAATCAAGGCCCTGCTCTGGTTCCAGCCCCCACGGTGTATCTGACTCCTGACCCTTCCATGCAAAGCGGCTGCCTCCTCCAGGCTGAGCACAGAGCATGCTGCTCACAGAACGTGGCATCTCTCTCCTGATTATTTTCACGTGCATGTGAGATCCAAGGCCGGAGTGAGGAACACACCTGAATCTAGCAACCCCTGCTGCCCTAGATGCTCTCAACTCAAGACTGCTCTGGGTGAAATGTGAGCCGTCCTCGTGGGCTCACTCATTCCACAGAGCTCGAAACTAGAGGGCAGGGGAGCGGGTCCCCAGCAAGGGCTTGTTGCCTAGGCTGAAGGTTTCCCAATAGTCACTTCAATCACACAGGTGGTATGATCCGGACCCGCAGAACACAAAGACTCAGCAAGTGCCTATTTTTGCACATAGCAGGGCAACCGGGTTCTCACCTCAGAAGAGGGGGCTAATTTTTAGTTTGTCCCATGAGATATGTTCAGCCACCCTAGCATCACGGGAAACCAGCCAGGGGCTTCCCCGCAGTGTGCAGTTAGTTATGGAGGCAATACTACACTGCACAAGAGAGTCCAAAGGACAACGCTGCACGATGAATGCTGGTGACCACTCCTATTTAATCCTACTCATCTGCGTATAAAGATCACTGTCATGAGCAAACCGTGGGCCATTCAGTCACTAGGTAACACTTACACAGCCTGCGCTCACGGCCCAGAGGGGGAACTGGGGAGCACCCCAGACAGACAAAACCAGAGACAATTTTAAAGAAGACAAAGCCTGCCAGAGGGATTAGAAACAGACAACATACGCATCTGGCTCAATGTAAGTTAGAGGCAAAGCGCTGTCTGCATGCATGTTAGCTGCCAGACATACAAGGGCATGGCCCTTGTGCGTGACCAACCTGCTGCTGCCCTGCAGTTCCTCCAGCTCCTTCTGCAGCTTGGCACTTCTCTCCTCTTCCTCCTGGAGCTTCCTCTTCACCACCCGCAGCTCCTGCTGAGCCTCACACTTGATATCGTTGGCCACCACCACTGCAGTCTGCAGGTCAGCTTGAAAACGCCTCCACTCCTCTGTATCCTCCTGGAAAGGGTAAGTGCAAACACGGTCTGAGCACCCCATCACACACTGCAGCTCACGTTCTCGGAGCTCACAGATGACTTATGGCATGTCAGGGTTTCACGGTGCTGCGGAGGTCACAATAAATGTGTGCTAGTTGGTAACGACAGGACCGCCCAAAAAGGAACTGCCCCTGAAGATGGAAAAGATGACACAAATTGTCCACTTATTTAACAATCCTGGGTTGCGATAGCACTGGAGAGCAGATATCGCTGTGGAAATGCGAACAGTGCTCCTTGCTGCTTCGTGTCCCATCATCAGCCAGCCAGCACCGGCCATCCCAAAGCAGGGGAAGTTCATGGAGAAAGAAGCACCCATGTCCTGGAAATCTGAACCAAACCACCGCAAATTACAGGAGACGTGTCCTGTTCCGCAGCTCCCTCACTGTCTGCCACACCTGCTTTCTTTTCTTTGGGAAGAAGAAACTGAATAAAGCAGAACGGACGTGCTCTGATATTCAGGTATCACGTGGAACCAGCAGTTCCAGCATTTTTGCTTTGGGTATATATTTATTCTGGGAATCACAGCTGGAGACAAAAAGCCGTAGCGCTGCATAAACGTCCTAGAGATGTCAGTGGGACATCTGCATGTGGACCAATGGCCTGGGACGGCTTTTTAGATGGAACACAGATACTCGGTGTGGAACACAGAACTTTAGCAGGCTTCTCTAGCAGCAGCAGATGGGCTGTGCCTGTTGTGATGGTCAGTAGCACAGTTATTTCAAAACTCTTCTCTGTATTATGAATCAGTTAATATGTGGACGTAGCTTTGAAATGTAACATGCTGCCTAGGTACCCAGGAATATTACTTGCTCTTAAGGGATACTAATGAGCGGCTCCCCTGGGCTTGTGAAGTGTTGCTTCGTGTGGACAGAGAGGCCTGCATCAGAGGTAGACTTGGGCTTACTGTCCCTGGTCAGGCAGAGGCCTATGGCATCTGAAAAGAGACTGAGGGCTCTAACAATACATGTATTGCCAGGTGCTGCTCAGCCAAGCTTTGACACTGCTATCAGATCAGCCAAGGTCAAACTCCACTGAGAGGGAAGGAGGGAGCTTGGGGAGGCCTTTTGTTGGTTTTATACAGTGTTTAGATAGCCCGGAGTCAGGTCTTTTGAAGTGGCATGTGGTGCCTGGCTCTAAGCCAGCATTCAGGTGAAAGCTCAGCAGCTGCCTTCCCCAGGCCTAGGAATCTGATCATCACCTTTATCTGTTTGGTCAGAGCCTTCAGCTGCCTCTCCAGATCCAGCTTGTGCTCTTCTAGCTTCAGGACATTACCTGCAAATAATCCAGATGGGAAAAACTATTAGACACATGGTGCCCAGGTGCCGAGCGGGTGAGGGAGAGGGAAGTGGCATCCTTGAGGATATCCACGGCAAAGCCATAACGGAACCAAACGCTTCTCTAGGAGACAGAAAGAGCCTTGCATTGACTAGCCCTGTTCTGGGCCGTCCCCCGCGCTGGACGTTTGCAGAGCCACTGGGGCTCCCAAGGCCAGACGAAACGCTTAGAAAGTGAAATGTGCAATTCAGGCCAGCAGGTGGCACTTTCCCACTCCCAGCAGGTTTTACAAAGAGGAGAAAGCCAATGTCTGCTATGGGCACTATCCCGTTCAGCTGACGGGCAGTAGTGAAAATCTCCAAACTCTCTCTGATTTCTACAGTGCCGTGCATACACGCAGTGTTTTACACTCAGGCAGAGCTGCCCCTGGAGGGTGCAGTCTATATTGAGGAGACTAGGCAGGAATTATTCCAGACTCCCTCCTCCCCCTCCCTACTGCAAGCTGTGCCTCATCCTTGGCTCTGGGCCTGCGCCACCTACTCTCCAGGTCACTGATGAGCTGGTTGTTGTGCAGTTTGACAGCACGTTGCTGCTCCACCTGGTCCTCCAGCTCAAAGATGGTCTCCTTCAGGTTTTTGATCTCAGACTCATTCTCGGAAGTTTTCTCCTGCAGCTTCAGGCTGGTTCTGCTCAGCTGTTCAGCCTGCCGGTCATACAGCTCCTTCAGCTGGCCACACTCCCTCTCCACCTGGAAGGAAGAAAGCAAGCTGTAAGTCTGCCCTCAGCTCTCCCCTGAGCTCCTGGATAACAGGACAGACTTAACGGGAGCTCTGGGCACTTACAAGGATGGGCCCAAGTTCTAGGCGCTGCACAACCTCAGGCGTTCCAAGGCACCTGACAGTCTGCGGGAGCTGTGCTTTGTCAACACTTTTCCCAGCAGAAAGGTAACAGCCGGGAAGGGGGAGGGGAGGAAATGGAGTCTGCTGGATGGGAGAGGCATTACAATTTCAAATCAGTCACTGCCGCCAAGGGACAGAGCCATGTCTCCTCTTGAAAGTTCAAAGCCCCTAACTAGCCCATTGCCCTCTCACATTAGGAGAGTGACCGAGCGAGCAAGCTAGCACGGGACCGAGAAGCAGACCTGTTTGTCGACATTAACCAGTTCACTGCAGCCTGCCTGGTGCATTTGCAGTGGGTTGCCAGGATGGATGTGGAATATCTGGCTGCTCCAGGGCAAGTGCACTTCCCAGACATCCTGCATGTGGAATTACGGAGGTGTGAGCACACACACACACACACACACACACACACACACACACACACACACACACTTCCCCAGGACAAGGGAAGGGTGAGCTTCTCAGGGCAGGAAACAGAGTGATGGGAAACCGAGGCACAGGCTGCCAGGTCTGTGGACAGAACTGGCACAGTGAGCTGCAGGCAAGTCTCAGAGAAGCCTGTGGTCTTGTCTGTGTGTCACAAATAGACAAACAAACTAATTCAATGGAAGGGGAGAGTAAAAGGGAGGAAATTTGTGGTTTCACAACCAGGCAATAAAAAAAAGCAATAAAAAACGTAGTGCAGAGTTGGAGCATTCAGCAGTTTCTCATTTATTCTTCATAAAGCGTAGCCTCACTGAGCATGCCAAAGCACTAGGGAGCCGCCCTTGCTGTATGCCATTTGCTGTGGTCACCTACTCCAGCTGAAAAGACATCTGGATTTTCTACATCATTCAAACCATAGAGGTGGGTTTTTGGCAGTGCTCACTTCCTCTCCAGCTAGTCAGTTCCATGGTTCTTCCCAAGCTCCCCTCCCTGGCCAGGATCCATGGCAGACACTGTTTGGCACACTCTGTGCAGTGGTGGTGATTAATCACAGGCTTGCATTACAGTTACACTTGCTCTGTGACACCCCACAGTGCAGCTACACTCGGAACACCTGGGCTCCGATGGAAAATGGGATCAGCAAAGACTTACGGCTTCTCAGTATTGGCAAGTTACTGCACTAAAGCTTTCTCGCTCAAGGGTGTGAAAACCCACCCGAGTGCAGCACGTTTCGGCACTGTAACTTGCCAGTGTAGACAGGCTCCCAGCATGGGGAGCTGCGCCCCTCTTGGAGGTGATTTTCCTAAAGCACTGGCGCCGTAACCACACTGCTGCAGTAAAGCTCAGCAGCACTTTAAATCCGCAAGTGTAGACAAATCCTCAGTGCTGCTGGGGATTGCGGGCCAGGAGAAGAAGCCACAGATCGCAGAACTAGAAGAGGGAAACTGCTCTAAAACAAATTTGTGTTTCATTAGCCATTGAATACTCCAGCTCACAGCGCTTGATTTTAGACGAGACGGGCAGTGTGTGGGATGCTACGTTCCGCCCGGCAGCGGGATGGACTCGCTTATCTGACAGCACTAGTTGTCATACAGAACCAACTTGGGACCAGGCTAGTGGAGTCATGGATTCATACTCGGGATGTGAAAGTGTAACTGCACATGGTTAACCAATGAGCCTGGGCCTGTAGTGGAGGCAGCAGTGAGGGGCAGCAGGTGGGAGCTGGGACACGTGGGGAGTCGGCTCCCTGAGCACACCGGCTCCAGGGAGCCGCCTGACGTGTAACCGCGGACGTTTTCAGCAGTTACATGGTTACTTTATTACACTTCATTTTAACATCCCTCATTCACATTAAGGATGTTAAAGACTAGTCGACTATCCGATAAGCATTTGCTTATCAGACAGTACTGTTGACTAGCTGCCTCCACTTTGAAACCCCAAGGAGGCAACTGCACTGCTGATCCTGGGATCAGCTGTGCAGCGGGCTGCCCCTTTAAAACACCGCCGCTGCAGGGATTCAAAGGGGCAGCCCTGGAGCCCGGGGTCAGCTGGGGATTCCTAGCTGATCCCGGACTCCCCTACCACCCCTTTGAATTGCGCGGAGGCGGCAGTTTTCAAGAAACAGCTGCTGCACAGCTGATTAGCTGTGCGCCAGTTCCCCTTTGAAACTGCTGCCTCCGCACGATTCAGAGGGGTGGCAGGGGAGCCCATAGCATGGAGCCCGAGGTCAGCGGGGGACTCTGAGTCCCCTGCTGACCCCAGGCTCTATGGCTTTAAAATGCACAAGAGCCCACTGGGGACTCTTGTGCATTTCAAAGCAGGCACCTGCATGCAGCCCGGAGTCAGCGAGACTTCCCACTGGCTCCGGGCTGTACGCGGAGTTCTGCATTCCCCCTTGGAAATGTATAAGAGCCCCTGCTGTACAAGAGCCCCTGCCACTTCAAAGGAGGAATGCAGAAGTGCCTAGCAACTGGGGGAAGGATAGCTTAGTGGTTTGAGCATTGGCCTGCTAAACCCAGGGTTGTGAGCTCAATCCTTGAGGAGGCCATTTAGAGATCTGGGGCAAAATCTGTCAGGGATGGTACTTGGTCCTGCTGTGAAGGCAGGGGACTGGACTCAATGACCTTTCCAGGTCCCTTCCAGTTCTAGGAGATAGGCATCTCCATTCATAAAAGAAAACATTTTAATATCCTTAATTCACATCAGCGGACAACAGGGTAATTGCAGCAAGACAAGGTGCTAGTTACACCACTGCCAGATGCTATTCATGACCAGCACTTTATTCTTCCCTGGAAAGTCTTCTGCCTCATCTATCATGCCCAAGCCCCTTGAAAGGCAGAGCACACATACTGTCTTGGATGAAATCACATCAGTAAAAGTCTAACAAAGATCTTCCATGAGGGGGACTAAGCTAATTAAAAATAGAAATGACCAATCAGACCATTTCTCTACCAGGCAGAGTTTAGTCCTCAAGCAGAGCACACTCAGTTTTAGCCGAAAGCACATAAAACTGCTTCATACCATATCTGATACTTCATACCTGAATCCAGTAGGCACAAAACATCGCATTCTGGACTTGATCCAGCAGCATTTTAAGTCAACTGACTTGAAGCCATTGACTTCAAATGACTAATCCTACCAGTGTCACTGGCATGAGCAAAGGGTCTGATCTTGTAGCCATTGATTCACTACTTGCTCAACCAACTTGCTCCATGATTCAGTCAGACTTTGTTCATTAACCATCAGTAATTTAGTTCTCTGATTACAGAATTGGGTTGAATATCTCAAAACATTTCCCACAAACAACATAATTTACTTTGGTTGATTTTTCCCCATATTTCTCTAGTCAATCCATTTGTTAGCAGGAATATTTGCTGAAACAATGAATTTTGAATTTGTAAACTATGTAGGCCAGAAACCTGACACTAGGAATTTATGCTTATTCTAATCAGTAAATAGATGCAATATCATATGACCTATGAGTTGGAGCAAAACTAGCTAGTTGAACTCAAATTTTAAATCTTGAGACCAGGAATTAGCCTAAAAATAATTCTTCTGCAAAATACCCTACATTGCCTTCACATATAAGAAAAAAAAGGAAAATATGAATGGACTAGTTCACTATGAATTATTCACTCAGCTCGACTCCTTTACTGGTCTTTGGCTCACGAAGAACCCACTCTACTGGTTAATAGGCAGGGAGGCCATTGAATGTGAATGTTATTTTGGTCTTACCTTGACCAGTAGACCCTGGACACGTTTTACTTCACTGTTTGCCTTCAGCAGCTCTTGTTTGAGCTCTGTACAAGCCAGTTCTAACTGATCCTTCTCCGCATGGGCCACTTTCAACATCTCTTGCACCTCAGAGTTGTCAGTAGTACATCCCATTGCACTGATCTCAGCAGCTTTTTGTTTCTCACTTTCTAACTGACTTTTGAGAGAGCCGTTTTCAATCTTCAGGCCTTCTAATGCAACTTTACAGTCCTCTAGCGACTTAGCCACCGTGCTGGAGGTCTGGCGTTCCATTTCTAAAAGCCCACCCAACTTCTCGTTTTCCGCTCGTACACCCGTGATCACCTCTTGGGCATCTTGGTGCTCCCTTTCTAAGCTCCGCAGGCTGCTGGATAACTGTTGCTGAATGTTGAGCAGCTTTTCTCTTTCAAACTGTGCTTTCTCAAGCACTTCTGTACATTTCTGTTCCAGTTCAAGGATTTTCCCCTCCTGAACTTTGGTGTCTTCAGTCTTGGATCGCTCTTGTAGGAGAGTCAACAGCTTTTCATTTTCTTGACTAAGCTGCTCTGCTCTCTCCTTGTGCTGATGGAAGGAGGTCTCCAGCAAAGCCTTCTCTTCAACTAGCTTCTCATTTTCTGCTGTCAACTCCTGCACCATTTGCTGCTGGTCCGACAGCTCCTGCAAAGTGGCTTGAAGCTCTTCTGCTGTGCTGTGGTGGTTTTCTTCCATTTTTTGTATCCTTTCCGTCAGAGAGGCCACAGAAAGGTCACTTACGTTGTTTGGAGAACTCCCTGTGGTGGAGCATCTAGAATCCTTGAAGGGGTTGCTATTGGAGGAGGTTGGCCTAGAAGGCACATCTGCTATATGTTCAAAATCGGATGCATCGGGTGACAAGGATGCTTTAGTCACATCACTGCTGGAAGAGCCTGACTTTCGCACTGCTTCCCCATTCGCTCGCTGTCTTGGTCCATCTGCTTCACCTTTCAATACGTTTTTTGTCGGGCTTCCAAAACTTGATTCTTGGGTGACCGGGGTTGTGAAGCTGCTGTCAGCACCACTGCTTGTTGTTTCCGAGAGAGGTGAATGCTCTAGAGAAACCAGTTTCTCCTTCAAAACCCGATTTTCTTCAACCAGGCCAGCCAGCTCTTTTTGAAAAGTCCTGTTCTTCTCCTGAAGTGTCTGAATTAATGGATCTATGTCATCAGGTGACAATGGTAAAATGTCTAAGTTTTGGTCTGAGGCACCAAGCCCCTCAGAGCTAACTGACCCTTTGTCTTTGCATTTCTTCAGCTCATTCCGGAGCTTGGAGATTTCAGAGTCTTTCGTCTTCGCTTCTGCCAAGAGTTCCTTAACCTGGGACTCCAGCGCTGCCTTGTCCCCCGTTTCATTCTCTTGCTTGGACTTGGCAGAAGGACGCAGGTGTTTGGTAGGGGTGGGCGTGCCAGAAGAAGTTGGACTGGGCTGAGTTTTCCTGGTGTTGGCTGGACCACGCAGCACAGCTCTCTCTCTGGAGACAGTTGATGGAATTTCCCGCGGAGCCGGAATCCCTGTGCGCTTCGTGGATGAAACCATTCCTTGAAGAAAGGCAGAGGAGACAAGAGACAAATTCAGTCATTTCCTATGTGAAACAGGTCATGTGACAACACAATTATGGCCTACAGCTGCCAGGGGAAAACACCTGGATGTCTGACTTGCCTCAATCCTGGACGAGGGTAAGGATTTCTTCACTGCAAACTTTTGTATTAATTTCATACTTCCTCCTCCTCAGGAAAGGAGCCATCTGCCCACTCCTTTGCACTAGGCAGCACAATCGGGAGCAGTTTCAATCTATTATTAAAGTGCAATGCCTAATTCCATTATGGGAATTGGCTGTCCTTAGGAAATGCTTAATTAAAAATTGGCTTTCAGTTTCTAGAAGAAAAGCCCATTAACCTTGTAGCTTTGGTTGTAAAAACAGATATTACCAGCAGGCATGAAACTGATATAGTTACACTTTAATCAATTGATATGGACCAGCTTTAACGAGAAAAACAAGTAACCAAAGACAAGCAGGTAGAGATGGCTAATGGGCCAAAGACTGATTTCTTTTAATAGAAACCTAAGAGAATCTGTTTGCAGGGTAGGACATACATTATTCTTGGGCTTTAAGCCCATCTGACTAGTATCGACTCGCAGCATCTTCAGTGCAGCAATGGTGCACTCAGAAAAACGGCAGATGGCACCGGTGGCTTATGATGCTGAAAGCATCCCAACCTGCTTGGTAAATGGCTTGCAATTATGTCAAGGTATTTTCTAGTGAACAGTATATGAGAAAGAGGAATTGCAGATCTTCACGGAAAAGCTGGTAATTCCAGCTGTCCAAGAGTAGATGGAAGTTTCACCCAATTACTGGAACAATTTCCACATCTTGGCCACCACCCACCCTCACTGATCCTGGGACCCCAGCCTTTATCATCTTAATCCTAAGAGGTGACTAGATTAGGCCCAAAACAAACCAATACAAAAGACACTGCCACCTCTGCAGGCTCCAGCTGAATCCCAAACACCAACCAGGATGGCACAGGACAGAACTTGAACAAAAACAGCAATAGCGGCAGCTCAAGCTCAGCTCAACCATAAGGTTGTCACCCAACCTGGTAAGCAAACCCCTAAGGCCCTGCTCCTGTCCCACCTCTTCCCCACCCCTAGTGCTCATTCCTCCTCTCTCCCCTTCACCCCCAGCTTGCTCAGAAACCAAACCCAGACACATGGCAGCCCTACTCAACCTACTCTTCTTCTCTTTCCCCCCACAGGACAGTTATTACCATGTCAAACACAGGATTATTTTCCTTGTAAAACTTTCCAGGGAAAGGGAACAAGGGATGTTGCCAAATGAAAGCTTCATTTAATACTTTGCTTTTCAATTTTCTGGACTGTTTTTCCTTCTTTTCTTTATCTTCTGTAAAAGGTTAAAATGGTTGGAATAGTGTGTCTGATGTAGTATTGAGCAGACTGAGGTCTCTATATCCGGGCCCAGACTTTGTTTAACACTGTTTAATGTTGGAGAGTGACTGAGTGAGGTTAACACCTTTGTCCCATTTTTTCCACCTAATTTAATACAACAGTCCTGGTTATGGGCTGTTAGTCACAGCTTTCAGTTTTATTAATTACACTTTGGCACACAGGAGCTGCAGGTGTCAGAGAGAAGCCTCATGGGTGTTCAGCCTTGAAAGCCATGAAAGGGTTATCAAGGGAACTATAAAAGGAAAAGAAGTGACTTAAGGCTGGCACAGGTGGCATGACAAGAAAACTATTACTCCCATTTGACAGGTTGGGAAACGGCTACAGAGAGGTTAAATGACTTGCCCAAGGAGAAAAAGAAAGTCAGTAGCAGAACTGGGATTAGAATTCATTGAATTCCTGGCTCCTCAAACTACCTGGCCTTATCTGACACATTCTCCATAACAGAAAAGTGCTATTTCAGAGGACATGGACCTTGCAGGTTTGGTATAACTGAAGTGAAGTGATGTTGAAGGAAAAGGTTGAATGCCACCATACAACAGGGTCCCAGTGAGCCAAATGTTTGCAGCAGAGGAGAGTTCCAGGATCTGTACTTAAGTGAGTGCTAGAATCAATTACGATTTGCAGCATTTGGAAGCCTTTCTACAATGACACAAATAAAACTCTTATGTTTTTAGGGCAGTAAC